TATAGCAAGCAAATTTCTTTTTACATAATTGAGAACAGTTATAATACATGCTTTAAAATCCTTACCTCCTGAATCTAACCATCTAAGAAATCTCAAAGTTTGGTCTCCCTTGATTGGTTGACAACTATGGCCCAAGGGCCAAATCAACCCCACAGCTTGTTTCTGTATGGCCCACAAGCTAAAAATGATTTTGCACATTTTTGAAGGGTTATTAAAGCCTATGCTACAGAGACCATATGTGATCCACAAAACCTAAAATATTTCCTATCAGGTCCCTTAAAGAAAAGGTTAGCTAATCCTTGCTTTGGAGAATGGGCTAGAGTTTTTTGAATCTTCTTAAATCAGGTAATTTTGAATTGTCATCTGTACATCATAAAATACTGAATTCTCGTATTTTTCTCCAATGAATGTTGCTTCTTTTGTTTCAGCAGGCAGTTAATTGAGTTGGACTGCAAACTCCACTTCTTGTGTCACAGCTCCAACCTCACGTCATCTTTTTGGTTTGGTCTAGCTGCTTTGTGTCTGTTTCATGCATGTGAACATATTCAGGGGTCAACCAGACCTGTGGGCAAACAGGATTTGGGATGCCCTCTCTGGTGTTTTCCTTTCCAAGAAAGGAACTCCCCTCCCTTCACCCCACTCCCTACAGCTGCAGCTGGCCCAGCCATCAGTCATCTGGATTTATGTGCCAGGAACACTGCAGATCCCCTGCCACCCAGCACCACACACACAGTTGACTTCAACTGTTCTGAAGCAAAAAACAGTGAAAATCTGGAACTCCAAACAATTTTCCTCCTCTGAGTGTGGACACATCATCCAGATCTTCCTGTTTCTCTTCATTTTCTGGGGCTTCAGGCAGCTGCCTTTTGAAATTTACTCTAGTTTTTCAAAGGAGATTCTATTTGGCAGGATCTTAGCCATTACTGGCAGTGGAAATCACAAATTTAGAATGTTCAGGAAATTCTTCTTCCCAAAGCTTGATTACCATATCTCAGTGTCTGATTGGGAATCAAAAAACTTCTTTAGTCCTTACGAGAAACCCAGAGTACAGTACAGTTTCTTTTATACACAAATAAGATATCACATGAAGAAGATACACTTCTAAAGATACGCTCTAGGAACTCCCTCATCTCTAAACCAGAGCTGTAAGACCAGGCATAATATAAAATCACATTAACTCTTTGATAACGAAACAAGAAATTAAGCTGATACCAAGTTTAGGGCAAGAAAGAAAGAAGCAGAATGAGGACAAGGACAGTGTGTTTCCCAACCTGATTGGACAAGAGCTTAGACGAATCCTTCCTTTCATTCCCATCTACAATGGATTATCTTAAACAAGAACCTTTGTTCTCTCTTTTTTTTTTTTCTTGCTTTACCAGAATATACGGATAAATAGAATTTCAGCCAAAAACTACGGTCCCCCAGGGCTTCCTGGTTGGCATCTGATGCATGTCTGTTCCCACTGCAGCCTGGACTGAAGCAGGATGTGGAGGGGATGACTATCACTTAACACACATCAGAGCCAAATCCTGACAAAAACCAAGTAGGTACTAAAGTGAACTTGAATCATTTATTTGATAAGTTATGCCATAAGCTATCTACACCCTTAAGACTGATTTCCCCAGATAAGAAAACAAAAAAAACAAAAATAGCCTCAGTTATGAATTCTACCCCAACAACAACTTTTTAGACTTTCATTTTTTTCAAAAATAAAAACTCATTTTTATTTTATAGAAGAACCCATCTTTAAGAAGAAAACTCATGATTTTGCTATTTGGGACAACACTCCTGAAGATATGAATGCATTTAGTTTAACAATCACTCTTATCAAAAGATACCTTTAAAAAAAAACAGGTTGTATCTTATAAAAACAGGAAGAAAAATTGAGAGGAGTGAAGAATAGGTATTTTCAATTTGTAGATATCAATTATTCATAAGCAAAGAATCACAATTTAGGATTAATGAAAAGGTTTGTTGGTCTACTGTTAAATGACAAAGGCATCTTTGAACAACTCTGCATCAATTGATGATCTGTCAAAATAGTGCCAACAGATCAATCAGTGAAAAAGGAAAGTTAAAATATGTTAGCCTGAGCACAGGAGATCCAGCAAGTTCAGCTATTTGAAAACCAAACACACCAAGGTTCATCTGCTCCTGAAAAGAATCTTTCCATGTCATATGTAGAATACAGTTTATTAAGAAGGATTTATTAACCTTTAAGCCCCTTATAATTGAAAATTAGAGGACGATATTTTAGTATACATTCAATTATCTACACTAAAAAAATGTTTTTTAAATAAAGGCATTCAAAAGGAAAGTTTAGACTGTAAGTAGCCTGGCACTTACAGAATAAGAACACAGAAAGTTCACATTTCAAACCCTAAGGTACTTGTGATAAAGACCTATATAAATAACAAAAATATAATAGAGAAAGATGTAAGATACACAGGTGAGGATATTACTTACACCAGATAGAATTTAGGTCCTTGGACCAAGCAGAAACTATTAAATAACCACAAAGAACACCCTAAAAAGTAGAACATGCTTCCCTAAACAGTTTATTTTAAGAATATAGAGTTTTGCTTGTTTGCTCTGCCTTAGATAGTTCATGTGTTCGTGTGTTACAGGGTCACCAGGATGTAAAGGGAAATACCAAACAATTGTTACAAATAAACGTGGTTAGAAAACAAACAGATCTTATGGTAGCTCACAGAGACAAAAATGTGACAATGAATATATATATGTTCATATATAACTGAAAAATTGTGCTTTACACTGGAATTTGACACATTTTAAAATGATTATAAATCAATAAAAAATGTAAAAAAGAAAAGAAAACAAACAGAAAATAACAACATTGGTCCATAATTTCTGTTTCTCACTCATAACCCCAACCTTACCACCCCCTCCAAGAAACAAGAAAGACAGAATTGTTTCAAATAAATATTGAGTTAGTAAATTTTAAGGGAAATGCCATCCCAAGATATATTTAAGTACTAAAAATGAAATCACAGCACAAGGAAACAGAAACAAAGAAGTAGTATTATGGTGACACCTACTGGCTAGAAGTCCTCATAGCAAACATGAGACCCAGTCAAAATAAGAAAAATTATTGAAATAGGAAGGAAAATTGATAATTCTAATTCACTACAGCATCAGGAACTTCTAACAAAACAGAACCACCTACATTATTTTATTACCACAAGGAAAGAGAATAACTCTTAAATATGTTCACAAGAGTGAATTTTATTAATTTTGAAATGCAAGTTTGCAATCTCCAAAGGCTAGGACTTAAATTTTAAAGTCAAAATAATTAACATATAAAATGCTATTTCAGCTTTGTAGCTGAATATATAAAGACTTTTTTTTTTAACTTAAGTATAGTTGATTTACAATTTTGTGTTAGTTTCAGGTATACAACAAAGTGATTCAGTTACGTATATATATATATATATTCTTTTTCATATTCTTTTCCATTATAGTTTATTACAAGATTTTGTATATAGTTCCCTGTGCTATATACTAAGATCTTATTGTTTACCTATTTTATATATAGTGGTTTGTATCTGCTAATCCCAAACTCCTCACTTATCCCTTCCCCCACCCCTCCTCCTTCCCCTTTGGTAAACATAAGTTTGTTTTCTATGTCTGTGCATCTGTTTCTGTTTTGTAAATAAGTTCATTTGTATCATATTTTAGATTCCACATATAAGTTATGTCATATGGTATTTGTCTATCTGTCTGACTTGCTTCACTTAGTAAATAATCTCTAGGTCCATCCAGGTTTCTGCAAATAGAATTAGTTCATTCTTTTTTATGGCTGAGTAATATTCCATTGTATATATATATATATATATATATATACCACATCTTCTTTACCTAGTCATCTGTCAAAGGACATTTGCATTGCTTCCATGTTTTGGTTATTGTAAGTAGCACTTCTATGAACACCGGGGTGTATATATCTTTTTGATTTAGCATTTTCTCCAGATATATGCCCAGGAGTAGGATTGCTGGATCATATGGCAACTCTATTTTAACTTTTCTAAGGAACCTCCGTACTGCTTCCCATAATGGCTGTACCAATTTATATTTCCATCAACAGTGTAGGAGAGTTCCCTTTTCTCCACACACTCTCCAGCATTTATTACTTGTAGACATTTTAGTGATGGCTGTTCTGACCAGCATGAGGTGATACCTCTTTGTAGTTTAGATTTGCATTTCTCCAATAATTAGCAATGTTGAGCATCTTTTCTTGTGCCTATAGGCCATCTTTCTGAATGTCTTTGAAGAAATGTCTATTTATGTCTTCTGCCCACTTTTTGATTGGGTTATTTGGTTTTTTGTAATTGAGTTTTAAGAGTTCTTTGTATATTTTGGAAATTAAGCCCTTGTTGGTCACATCATATGCAAATATTTTCTCCTGGTCTGTAGGTTGTCTTTTCATTTTGTTTACGGTTTTCTTTGCTATGCAAAAGCTTTTAAGTTTGATTAGGTTCCATTTGTTTATTTTTGCTTTTATTTCTATTGCTTTGGGAGACTGACTTAAGAAAACATTGCTATGATTTATGTCAGAGAATGTTTTGCCATGTTCTCTTCTAAGAGTTTTATAGTGTCTTATCTTATATTTAAGTCTTTAAGCCATTTTGAGTTTATTTTCGTGTATGGTGTGAAGGAGTGTTCTAACTTCACTGATTTACATGCGGCTGTCCAGCTTTCCCAGAACGACTTACTGAAGAGACTGTCTTTTCTCCATTGCATATTCTTGTCTCCTTTGTCGAAGATGAATTAACCCTAAGTGTGTGGGTTTATTTCTGGGCTGTTTTATTCCATTGATCCACATGTCTATTTCTGTGCCAATACCACACTGTTTTGATTACTGTAAGCTCGTAGTATTATCTGAAGTCTGAAAGGGTTATGCCTCCAGCTTTGTTCTTTTTCCTCCAGATTGCTTTGACAATTCAGGGTCTTTTATGCTTCCATATAAATTTTAGGATTATTTCTTCTAGTTCTGTGAAAAATGTCATGGGTAATTTGATAGGGATCACATTAAACGTGTAGATTGCTTTGGGTAGTATGGTCACTTTAACAATATTAATTCTTCCAATCTAAGAGCATGGGATATACAAAGATGTTCAATCAGAAGATGCATACTTGCATTTCATTGCTAAGAAATAAATAATAATATTAATAATATGTATAAATGTTAATGAAAGGGGGTTAGCCCCACTTCCACCTTTACCAGAGAAATAACGAAATTCACGGAACAAAGCACATGTCTGAAAAACCGGACTGAAAAATACAGTTTCTCAAAAATCCCTAAGAGAGACCATTTAAATAAACTAGTAAAAATAAATGTTTTCTTTAACGTACCATAGCACCTTTCTAGTCCAAACCACATTTACATTAATACAACCCCCATTTTATCTTAATGACATCTTTTTGCTTTTCCAAATAGTTCTTTTCTTAAATGCTAACATCCTTAAAATTTCAGCATAAAAAAATTTGAGTTATTTCTCCTCAAGCACAACCTCCCCTTTAAGACTCAGAATTACACCTAAAGGCTTGACATCGGTTTATAGCCCATAGGCTCTGTTGAACGCTGACATTTAAAGACCAGACTTCAGAATTTCTCTATAGACATGGCCTGGTCTTCCTAATTAGAATTCATGAATATGCTCCAGGCAGTTGGTACAGGCATCGAGTTTTTTGGCTTGATGATAATTATCACCTGGTCTGCAAAAGCCAAAGTCTTCACACGCTCACAGACGGTTGATTGCAGATAAGAATATAATGAGAAAAGTCAAATTCCCACAGACATAAATTGCTAACACTATCTTTTTAAAAGCATGACCCTGAAAGAAAAATTGAGATATGAAAATAAGGAACTAGGATCATTAAGGTTTGTGTCAATAAATAATAATAACAAAAAAAAAAGACTTACTTCTCCTTCAGCTACAGTAAATGACTGGAGGATCTGAATTCTATCATCATCCAATATTTCATCTGTCAAGAACAACATAAGTCTGTAAGGCCAGTAGGCATGCAGGGTAAATTAACTCTCAAAAAAAGCCCTGATTTCTAGTGTTTGCTAATTTCCAGGATGCACATTCTCCCATTTCAAGCTATTAAATGTTGCAAACTTCTTGAATATTTAAGGTTCTCACAATAGGACAAGCTGGCTACCGCATACATTTGTCAGGGGACTTAAAATATGCCCTCTTCTTCTAGTCAAACCAAATCACCACATCAACATAAATGCCAAGTCAAAGTCTTAACAATCCAAGTTTTAAGTACATATGTAGTTCTTTGTATGTATATTTTTTAATCAAAGTATAGTCAGTTCATATGTATTTTAAATGGCAAGCCATAATCTAGTGGTCATCAAAGCCCCTTTAAGACTCAAATCCCACACAACATTGTAAATCAACTATATTTCAATTAAAAAAAATTCAAACCCCATGTATGTGACCCCATCAAGAACCAAAAATGGTAGGACAGACATTTACTACTCTATTCCTAAAAGCCGCCCAGCCTCCTAGATTCACAACATACACACTAGACAACAAACATGTTTCGATTTTAGAAGGCCACCTTTACTCATCACTTGGGGGGTGCTGACAACTAAATAGGACACAGAAGACACAGCCTAGAATTCAAGCTAGTTTAAAATGTCACTGGTTCTCTACTAATCTCTCCACTCCTACTGGCTACCAGCATGTTACCCTTGTCTGGCACTAGGACCAAAACAGACCTTGCCGCTAGAGAGCTCTGGCATGAAGTCCTTCCTACCTCGCTCGCTGGTTAGCCAGCAATCATGATGTACATGGCAACCTCAGTGACAGCACACAGTAAGTCTGCCAAATTGCCGAAACTGGTCTGCAGCTCTGCCCTGTGTAGACCGTGGGCATCTCTTCTCCCTCCTTCTCAGGGGTCTCTCAGCTCCAGGCATTCAGGGCTCTCCACGCGTGCTGGCTCCAAGTCAGACCAGCATGCAAAGTGAAAAATACTTATAAAGAAAGCTTCTTCCCTAAAACTAAAATCTTTCCCTTACATTTTACTCACAAATTCTAATGAATATAAAAAACAAAGGCAGAAAATTTTCCATTTCTACCACTGACCGAGTAATCACAGGGGAAATTTTTAGTAAGCTACCATGTCAGAGTCAACCATTAGTGTCAAGGAACTAAGTATATTCCAATCGTTTGTATAACAGTGATTCTACATCACATGGCTTTTGGAGCAGGTTACCTTTTCGAGAGAGCCGGTAAGCATGTATCTCCAGAACAATCTCTGCCCCAACGTGCCAGGCTACAAATCCAATCATTGCAGAGGTTTTCTGCGGGCCAGGAAGATTCAGCCCTGGTAAATCCATTCCCAGGAACATTGCTGCCACTATGTTTGTAAGAAAAAAAATATATATATATATATATATGTATGTATGTATATATTCAAATGTAATTCAAGAGGCAACAGTGTGTGTATGTACGTGTGTGTGTTACATACTAGTAAAACATACTAAAAGAGTTTGTGAGAGAAAGTAGATTAATATTTATGACCAAATAGTTAGTCTTTTTCTTACTGCAAGACTAGAAAGGCTAAGATGGGAAATTGTAGTTATGATCTACCAGTTGTTAAAAAAAGAGGCACCCAAACTTTTCAATAGGTTTTAGGTCTGCAGTGTAGGAAAGGAGAAAAGCACAGAAACCATTTCTGATTATACCTCCCCTTCAGTGAATTTCTACAGACTAGACATGTGAGGACAGGAGGTATCAGCTTGGGTATTTATTATATAAAGCGTCAAAACATACTGGATAACCACACTTGACTTTCGAAAAAGTCCTTCCGCTGGAAAGTACCATCCCCATGGAAAGGACCTGAAAACAGAGGGCAGGGACCCCCATATCCCCGGCCACATCAGCCCAATCCACAACTGACCCTCCATTTCAGCTGCTGAAATGTTTGGTCATCAGCATAGTTTATTCTGCCAGCAAAGGCAAATGCTAAAAAAAGACGCTTAAAAGGAGAGTTTTGAAGTCCTTTTAAAAACCTTAAAACTGAAATAATGGCTTAAATAGTTACCTCAAGAAATTGCCTTCTGGGTTTCAACGTTTAAGGCTGATTTCTCCTCAACAACCAATTACTCCAATTACTAATGCATCTACAAATCATTTAAGCCAAATTACAACCTGCAGTATAAACAACCAGCAATTATATATGAATAAGTGGCATCGCAGTTACTTACCTGCTATTATTCTAGCAGCTGTTCCCATACTCCAGTGAGTCCAGTTAAACATTTGCCTTCTACCAAATAAAGAACCAGTCAGTATTCTTATAAAGCGATGGAACTACAATTAATTCCCAAGAGAATAAAAAGCAAGCAATTTCCCTCACTGCCTAGGAATTATATATCTGAAATACATTTTAGAACCTTTTAAAGTGAATATAATGTATATTTTATAAAATGCAAAAAAGGAATTAGCCCGCCCACTAGTGACATCTGCATTATGAGCATTTATAAATGAAGACTGTAAGTACCTTGGGTCATGCAGGGGTGGTCTGGAGGCTGCCAGGAGAAGCTGAAGAACTGCTAACACCATCACGATACAACCAAGGTATGGGTGATAGCCTGCATGCTGAACAAAGTTACGTCATTTTAATGGTCTCAGTCTCGCCCATCCATTTAAACCCTCAAGCTAAAAATAAAGCACACAGATGTGTTCGTAGGATTTTTCCTGTGCTTTAAACATTTAATAACGATAATGATAGTAATAGGCACCATTCACCGAGTGTCTACACCAGGCACATACTTGCTACACATTATCACTGATGCTCACTGTGATGCCTGCCAGTTAGTTATCAATATCCCACTTGTACAAACAGGGGAACTGAGGCTCAGCGATATCAAGTAATGCATCCGAGGCGACATGGTGTGTAAATGGTTGTGGTGGAATCCAAGCACAGAAGGCTGCCTATCCCCCACAGGGATGTTCGATGACCACCAACCTCAGAACAACCCTTTGGAGCCCACCTGGGACTAGCTAGTATCTGCGTGTCAAGAGCAATCAACCTAATGCATTGTAATTATTTGCTCAGACCTCTGTGTTTCCCTGAGCTGAAGGTTCTGTATGATTCCCTGTAACCCATGTGCTTGACAGAGCTTTAGTCACTCAATAAATGTTTGTTGATTAAGGGACTAAGCTGCACAACCACTGTATTAAAATCACATCTCCTCTGTTCAGAATGAAGGTCTAAGCTAAGAAAAAACATCAACACCGTATCTCAACAGTTTCCACTCTTCTCTCAGTGATGTATACCTGCTCAAAACAGCACACAGTTGGATTAGACCACCTTACAGAACTATTTCACATAAAAACTGAAGACAAGGACTAAAAAGATGCTCTAACCCACAACATGTTTAGATGGAGGGATATTACAGTCTGCCGTCACTGACCCCCATGCTTGGGTAGACCCTAAAACCGGGGATCTAGAACAAGGACATAGTGGCTTCTAAGCCAAGACAGGAAGCTTTCACAAATCAGGAATTAAAAGCTGACGAAAGAGCACTATAAAACTTTTAGACCATGGACTCAGTTACACTCAGATACGTTATAACCTGGACCATGGAGTTGGAAAAATGCCTCTAATAAAAAACAGTAACAGCAGCAACTAAATTCTTAGATGTGTTTAGAATGTGCTAGGAGCTGTCCTACGTGCTTTCAGTTCATTAGCTCTCAACCCCTACAAAGCCTATGAGATAGATAGCGTACTATGCCCATTTTGCAGATGAGTAAACTGAGGGACAGAGAAGTTAAACAACTTGCCCAAGGCATCCTAGGTAATCAGTGATGACATCAGAGTTTGAATACAAGCAGCCTGGTTGTAGAACTGTGCGCTTAACCGTTACACTATCCTATTCATAAACAGCAAAGGCTACAAGCTACAAAGTTTAGGAAGTAAGTGTTACCCTTGTCCTGAATACCTGGATAAAATAAGGTTTTAAAGTCTTGAGCTATATCAGAAAATCCTCATAATTTCCTTTCAAAATAATGAGATGCCCAATCTATAAACTACCCAAAAAGCAGGGGGTGGGGGTTTCCTAGGAACATCTGTGACCTAGGATTCATCCAAGTCAGGCCTTGCAGCAACAGCATAAACTGAAATACTAAGTTTTGATAACGAATTCTGACTGGCTGTAAAACTGCAGGAGCATAATGAAAGCACAGGCTCTGACCTTGGTCAGGTCCAT